GAGAAGGGCGAGGTAAAAGAACCCCAAATAAATAATAAATAAATTGTATTTTAATCAGCTGCACTACAGTACAATTTCATTTTAAATTTGTTAACAACCAAGATGCCTTTAACCTTTTCACATATACTGTTCTGAATAGAGGTGCCATGTCATAATTAAAGGAAAGGATAACTACAGATATGAGCCTCATGCACACTGCCATGACCACAACATCACCAGCTGTTACTGCTGCCTGTAACCATATAAATAAGGAAGACCAAAATAAGGTTCTCTAAATATTTCACAAATCCATACAAAAATGGGACTATTTCTTAGGGATTTAAATATTTATTTTGTTTAATAATAATAATAATAATAATAATAATAATAATAATAATAATAAATTTGTATTTGTCCCTATCTCCCCGAGGGGACTCAGGGCAGATTTCAACATAATAATGGCAAACATTCAATGCCAACATAAAAAACACAATACTAAGATAAAATTCCAGAAAAACCCAACATATGAAAGTAACATTAAAACTTAACATCAAATTAAAGCCTAACATCAGTAAATTAAACCTAATATATCAATAAATTAAACTACACATAGTCAGACAAAATTCTAAGATAATAAAAATCTAAACAAAACACCCACATTAGTGCTTTCATATAAAAGAGTGAAAATTTTCAAAAACATTGAAAGTCTTCCAAAACAAACTTCGCTAGTTCAGGTAGAAGCCCTCCCAAAATTCTGATAATCCAAAATTGTTATTATTTTATAAAATTGTGTTAGTGGTCAATCCCCCCCCCTTTTAAAAAAAACCCCAAACATGGTGGTTTTATCCCAACAACAAACAAGTAGCTTAATTTTAAAAAAAAGCAACAACAAGAAATTCTATTGAAAACAAAGCTGGAAGCAACTGGACCATTTCATTGTCACACTATGTCACCAAGATGCACTCCATGGCCACAACTTTGTCAATACACTTCTAATAAACCTGTGTATTCATTATATACAGAATAAATTATGAGCTTTTAAGAATGTATTATGCAGACACAAAAAGAAAAAAAATCATCATATGAAACATCAGGACCAGCACTCATTAACCAAAGAAAGGCCTGAAGACCTGGCTCTTCGAAAAGGCCTTCAATTAGGTGCTATGTATTGGAATGACCACCGGAATGGACTATGACCACGAGTTTGATTATGACCCAAACAAGACGAAGCGGATTTTTAGTTTAATTAGTTGTGTGTTAGTTGATGTGCGTCATGATCTTAATTCACTGTAACTGTTGTCTTTATGTTCTATGTTCTGTACACCGCCACGAGTCGCCTTCGGGCTGAGAGTGGCGGTTAACAAATGCAAATAATAATAATAATAATAATAATAATATTCTAGGCAGGACAGATCAAAATCTGTTGTGAAAAAACGTGGCATTTATGTTAGTTTTCATGTTCCATTCTTGTGTGTCTCATGAAATTGAATTCAAATTAAGTCCAAACTGTCGATGGAAGAATAGCTTTAAGGAAAGATTTGAGGGGCAGAACTGTTAGCCAGTAATTACAGAGTCCTATACTGTGAATTCTGGCAGTAATTATTCTAACATAATTCTTAACAGAGTCTATTAAAGAAGAGATGCCAAATTAACACTATGTTATTGCACAACAGAATTATGACTGCAGATATAATTTACCATCTTAAACTATGTAAGAGAATTGATTGCTGAAAACAACAGAGAACGTTTAATTAAAAATTGGAAACATCTGTACTGGGTTTAGCGAAACATACGTTGATTTCAACATCCAAGTGAATAAAGAAAATATGGTATGCAAGTAAAGCTACCTTGCAGACATTCCTGGAATCTTTAATGGCACTGCTTTTTAAAAACCATCTTACAAAAATATTTATTATTATTTGTTATTAACTTTATTTGTACCCCGCTAACATCTCCCGAAGGACTCGATGCGGCTTACACAGGCCAAGGCCTCAATAAAACAACAGCATAACAAATACATAATAAAACTCATAAAGCAAACCAAAAACATTAAAGCAACAATAGAAACAATAAAACAATACACCGTAACACATTTAAAACTAGGGCTGGGCCAAATGTAATGGGTACAGTTAAAAGTGCTGGACATGACAGGTGAAATGTAAGGATTCTAGGGTAGGTGCAATGTGCAGACAGTCTTAAATCTCTAATAAAGTGCGACTGAGGAGAATAATTGTAGGGTTTTTCCCTTGACTGTATAGCTAACAGGTTCACACAGGGAAGTTCAGCCATTCTGCTTTTCTTGTGCTCCGTGGCATGGGAAAAATGGGATAGTGACCTGTGTCATTGCTTCATCACCATATGTCTGGACAAAGAGCTCCTGTCCATTGCCTTTGGTAATGTCATTAAAGGCACCCATATGGTTTAGAGAGAGAAAGGAGGGAAGAATTCTCCTTCCCCTATGAGTCATGCCGCTACGTTTGATGATATGGGAGCTGTATGCACACTGCTACACTGACAAAACAATGTCACAAGTGTCGCACATCAAGGTGGGAAAGTCACCTTTAAACCAATCTCACACTCTAGAACTCAGTTTATAAGCAAAGCAGTTTATTAAGGAATAACTGTAGCTTCAGTAAAAGTAGTTATAAGATCAAAGTCAATACAAAATATTATCATTTTAAAAAGGCACCTGAAGAAACTTGAAGAAACATAGTCAACTTCCAGCAGAAGTTAGCTATAGCATCATCATGGAGAACTTAGATATTCCTAGAGAGAAAATATTAATCAAATTTTCTTTTACACACAAGTTGAACCTGCAAAGGTGGAGGGCCATCTGTACTAGAAATTATCACAGGTTTTATGGTAGATATATTTAAAGAATGAATTATCCAAGCAATCAGTGATCTGAATTAGTTAATCAGTAACTGTATCTCGTTTTTTGATTTTTTTAAAAAATATTTTTATTAAGCTTTAAATATACGTATAAAAGTCGGGGGTGTGGGGGGGAAAAAGGGGAGGATGTGATGGGAAGGGGGGAGAGGCAAGGTATTCCAGCTACATGTGGAAAGGGGAAGGGGGACTTGGGGTACATTTTTGATTTTTAAAATAAGATAACCCTAAAAAAACAGAACCAAAAAAACATTCCAACTTATTATTATTAATAATAATACCCTGATTTATCTCCCCAAAGGGGACTCAAAGCAGACTCAACAGTAAAATTACAGGGTCATTCAAATCTGGTTCTCCTTGATAAGCTATTATCCATGGGTTTTTTGTTATTTAAAAAAATGGAACATGGTAGCACTAAAATCCACATCAGCTCTACTTTAATCCTCGTATCTGTCAATGGTAACTCAAAAGCAGTTATTTCAAATTGTTGCCTATGTGTAAGCCGCCTTGAGTCTCCTCTGGGGTGGAGCAAGGTGGGTAAAAATGTCGTAAATAAAATAAAATAAAATATTTCTTCTTTGCAGCTGAGAAAAGAGCTAATAGAGCTCATTCCAACAGCATGGTTAAGGAGCAGTTCCATGATGATGCAAGCTTCCTAGAATTGTTGTCATTCAGCATAATATCATTAAGCATTATACTTTAAGACCTGGTGCTTTAATTTGCTAGTTTCCTCATTGCTAATTCTCTTTTCCTGCTTCATTGATTCTTTTAAATTGCAAGTCTGTTTTTAATCTGTAAGCAGTACTTCATAAATTTTAGATGTTTTATATATGAATATAAGTAAAAGTAGTATGATAGATCTCAATAGACAGAAGAGTAATTACAATGAGCATGTCATACTCTTGACATATCATTACATAATTGGACTTACTGGAGAAGACAATAATGGTCAGTAAACGGGAAAGTAGTAGGAAAAGAGAAAAACTGCATTAACCATGGATTGGTTCAATCAAGGAAATCACAGTTCTAAGTTTGCAAAACCTAAAAAGGACAATAGGTAACCAAGACATTTGGAGATCTCTCATTCATAGGGTCACCAACAAATTGAGATCAACCTTACAGTAAATAACAACACAGTAAAGTAGTAGCAGCAGCAGAAATAAACATAATTAATAGGTATTGTAATTATACCACAGTGTCTGGAAAATGGAAAAAAGCATTGATACAGGCTACTGATAGGATCATACAGTTAGCCCACCCCCCACCCCCCCACCCCCAATAGTAAAGAAAGTTACCACTGATAAAGAGAAAGGAATTCTATTCTGCCAATCTTTTTATGGCACAGAATAATCTGACATCATAATGGCTATATCAGCCATAATAAAAAATGAATTCCCCTGACAGATATTACTCCTAAGTGCAGCCTGTAAATAAATGATTCATGCAAGTTCAATTACAAGAGTATGATGTGTATAAATGTGAAAAAATGTGATATGGAGACATAGAGGAAATAGAACAAAAGTAGAACTAAAATGCCCTCCAGCAAAATTCTGACCACATTTTAACTCTTTTTATAATACATAACACACTTCATCCATGTTAACAACCTGTTAACCAACATTAGTATTTTTTCCTAGATATATTAGCTTTGTCATATCAAATGACAAATTCAACTACAGTATGGCTCTCAATTAACTAAGTACAAAATACCCTATTTAGCTGGCAGTGAAAAGAAAGCTGCAAATTTTGCTTTTTAACTTCTGCAAAAAAATCCCTTATTTTTCCTTCTCACTTGTAAAGAATTTTGCAAATTATGGCTTAAACTGACTCAAATAACATTCTTATCCACTCTTAATTAATGAAAAACAATTTCAATGAAACCAAGTCACTTCTGGTGTGAGAGAATCAGCCGTCTACAAAGACATTGCCCAGGAAATGCTCAGATGTGTTGTAATTCTGCAATCCTGTGGGGAGGCTTCTCTCATGTCCATTCTCTGTTTGGGTATCAGCCAGCACACCAACACATTAAATTAAGAAATAGTTTTCTAAGATCTACAGAGACACTCGCAGGAACACCTGAACAAACAAGAGTCCAAAAGCAGCAGGCCGCATTATCACAGGATGTCTATACCCAGGCATGTAGCCGGGGGGGGGGGGGGGATAAATAATCTTTATGTATCCCCTGCCACCATCTCCCCAGAGTGGACTCGGGCCAATGTGATGAAGTCCTATGAAATACCAGACCGGTTGGAGATGGCGTTTATGGCACCTGCGTGTCTCTTGCCACCATGAGAGCTGAGCGCAACCCTTTCCTTACCTTGACACATACATGTGGGCTTGAGGACATAGTCAGGAGAGAATGCCTCTAGAACATGGCCATACAGCCCGAAAAAACCTACAACAACACATTCACACCTAGCTCCAGCAGACAAGAGTCCTTTGTCCCACCTTGGTCATTCCACAGATATATAAACCCATTTTCCTACTTCCAACAGACCTCACTAACTCTGAGGATGCTTGCCATAGATGCAGGCAAAACGTCAGGAGAAAATGCCTCTAGACCATGGCCATATAGCCCGAAAAAACCTACAACAACCCAGTGATTCCGGCCATGAAAGCCTTCGACGGTATAATAATCTTTATTTATCCCCCGCCACCATCTCCCCAGAGTGGACTCGGGCCAATGTGATGAAGTCCTATGAAATACCAGACCGGTTGGAGATGGCGTTTATGGCACCTGTGTGTCTCTTGGCGCCACGAGCGCTGAGCGCAACCCTTTCCTTACCTTGACACATACATGTGGGCTTGAGGACATATCCACAATTCCCATTGGCGTTGAACTTGGCGCGGTTGAGCTGAAGCATTCTCCCCTCTGACTGGTAGTTGAGTGCCACTGAAACGTTAATGGTGGGAGGAAGAGGGAGGGAAACAGCAGGTAAATGGCAGTCGGCATTGCTCACGCATCGCTGTCAGCTCCACATGAAAGGCAGGCACTTCGGAGAGCGCAAATGATGAAGAGAATACTCGACATCAAATGCCACAAAGCACAGAGAAATCAGAGAGAGAGGGAGAGAGAGATTTTTTCTAATTCTTCTGTGGAACATCTCTGTGGAAACCTATAACATCTTGCTACCTTTCTCACTTGAAGGAACAGAACTGAATCATCCCACGGCAAAGTGTCACAGCAAGCAGATGGAGAGAGACTCCACTCCCACTCCCCCTTCCTCGGAGAAAACAGTGGGCTCAAGCTTGCAAAAACGCTTTGCAAAATCAGAACGAGTGTCTGGAATCTTCTGACTGGGAACAAAGACCCAAAACAGGATGAAGTCCCTCATAAAGCCGAGGATTTGGCACTCTTGCCCCAACGCCCCTGTTTTCTGTTCTTCCGGGTGATGGAAACTACAACCAATGGGTGGACATGGGACAGAAGGCTATTTCAAATAGTTGGGAGACACTATATCTTAGGGCTGGGCGGTTTCGTTTCATAATTTCGTAATTCGTTAAAAATTTGTTATTTTTTTTGATAACGAAGCGATTTTGAACCATTCAGGAGCAACTAAAAAACGAAACGAATTTTTCAATTCGTTTCGTAATTGCTTCGTATTCGTTTCGAAATCATTTTGAAATCGTTTCGTTATTATTTCCGCACGTCTGGGGCAAGTTTTATAGCTGTTGTTTGTTTAATCAGTGAAAAAAAATATATAATTATCACACCAACAGTCAACAACAGAGGGAAAGGGAAGCTTCAAAAGTTCCCCCTCTCCCATATGGAGGTTTTTTAGCGTATTGCGCGGTCGCGTCCGCCATTAACGAATCGATTCGTATTCGTTTCAAAATCGTTTCGTAATTGTTTCGTAATTTACAAAATTTCGTAAATATCGAACTTTTTTAAAGAAAAATTTCGGAATTCTTTTAAATATCGAAACGCAAAAAAACCCAAAAAACGAATCGAGTTTAGAAACAATTTTTTCCGTGGTTGCCCAGCCCTACTATATCTCAATGGTACGAACTGTGTGATAGAAATAGCAACCTCCCAAGCCTCCAACTAACTGTAGTACACCTACACAATCAAAAAGCATTCTGAACTCCACCAACAATGGAATTGAACCAAAGTTGACACACAGAACTCCCAAAACCAACAGAAAATACTGGAAGGTTTGGTGGGCATTGACCTTGAGTTTTGGAGTTGTAGTTCGCCTACATCCAGAGATCACTGTGGATTCAAACAATGATGGGTCTGATGGACCAAACTGGGCATGTATCCTCAATATGCCCAAATGTGAACACAGGTGGAGTTTGGGGAAAATAGACCTTGACATTTGGGAGTTGTAGTTGCTGGGATTTATAGTTCACCTACAATCAAAGAGCATTCTGAACTCCACCAACAATGGAATTGAACCAAAGTTGACACACAGAACTCCCACGACCAACAGAAAATACTGGAAGGGTTTGGTGCGCATTGGCCTCGATTTTTGGAGTTGTAGTTCGCCTCCCTCCAGAGAGCACTGTGGATTCAAACAATGATGGGTCTGATGGACCAAACTGGGCATGTATCCTCAATATGCCCAAATGTGAACACAGGTGGAGTTTGGGGAAAATAGACCTTGACATTTGGGAGTTGTAGTTGCTGGGATTTATAGTTCACCTACAATCAAAGAGCATTCTGAACTCCACCAACAATGAAATTGAACCAAAGTTGACACACAGAACTCCCATGACCAACAGAAAATAATGTGTTTACTGGTGGTCTGTGGTGACCCCTATGACACCCCCCTCGTGACCCACCCGGTGGTCCCGACCCCCAGGTTGGGAATCACTGCATTACAGGCTTCTGGAGTACCAAAGATAAATAAGGAAATGGAGGAAACAAATTCTGCGCATAAGTCTACTTCTTACCCAGCTGGCAGCCCGCATTCCAGAAGGGCTGAGGATTGTAGTTGCTGGAGTCCACACGGTAGGAAGAAGGATAGATCCGGGACAGCTGGTTGTGGTTGAAGCGCAGGTATTGAGCTGGTTTTTGTTGGAGAATCTGGTGGGCTTTCGTTTCACTGAAGGAGGAAACTTGCCAACTGGAAGAGACTGAGAAGGAATGGAGATGGGTTGTTTTTCAATATATATTCCAATATTTCCCTATCCCTTCTCTGCATGTTGCTAACAATTTATCCCAGCTTTCTTCTTCAGAGGTCCTTCTCCACATGTTCCCCTTTGTTTGCAATATGTACTACTCCATCTATTCTTACCCTCTCTTATTTGTTAGTTGCAAGATTTAAACTGTTGTATCATGCTTAATCCTGCCTTTTTACCCTGTTTATGTATAGTTGGATTGATTGGTTATATATAGCTGGTTTTATTGTTATTTGGTTTTATTGTTTTCCTGCTATTTTCAATGCTCTGGCAACCCACCCCCGCTTTGGCTTCTTCGTGGCCACAAACTCATATCTTTTGTTAATGATTTGAAAGTGTTATTTGCTGTTTCACTGGATGGTCTTTAAATTGAAAGTAGTTGTTTTACTCCAGGAGTGGAGAAAAGCAAGCGGAGGAAATTCACCCTTCTCGGGGTTAAAACTGGCTGCTCTGGCTTGAGCCAAAAGTGGGGGGAAAGCAAACGGGAGGAAATTCACCCTTCTCTGGTTTATAACTCACTTCTCTGGCTTGAGCCAGAGGCAGGAAAAGCAAACGGGAGGAAATTCACTCTTCTCTGGTTTGTAACTCACTTCTCTGGCTTGAGCCAGAAGCACGAAAAGCAAATTGGAGGAAATTTAATTCACCCTTCTCTGGTTTATAACTCACTTCTTTGGCTTGAGCCAGAAGCACGAAAAGCAAATGGGAGGAAAGTCACCCTTCTCTGGTTTATAACTCACTTCTCTGGCTTGAGCCAGAAGCAGGAAAAGCAAACGGGAGGAAATTCACCCTTCTCTGGTTTATAACTCACTTCTCTGGCTTGAGCAGGAAGGCAGGAAAAGCAAATGGGAGGAAAGTCACCCTTCTCTGGTTTATAACTCACTTCTCTGGCTTGAGCCAGAGGCAGGAAAAGCAAATTGGAGGAAATTTAATTCACCCTTCTCTGGTTTATAACTCACTTCTCTGGCTTGAGCCAGAAGCACGAAAAGCAAACTGGAGGAAATTCACCCTTCTCTGGTTTATAACTCACTTCTCTGGCTTGAGCCAGAAGCAGGAAAAGCAAATGGGAGGAAATTCACCCTTCTCTGGTTTATAACTCACTTCTCTGGCTTGAGCCAGAAGCAGGAAAAGCAAATGGGAGGAAATTCACCCTTCTCTGGTTTATAACTCACTTCTCTGGCTTGAGCCAGAAGCACGAAAAGCAAATTGGAGGAAATTTAATTCACCCTTCTCTGGTTTATAACTCACTTCTCTGGCTTGAGCCAGAAGCACGAAAAGCAAATTGGAGGAAATTCACCCTTCTCTGGTTTATAACTCACTTCTCTGGCTTGAACCAGAAGCACGAAAAGCAAATGGGAGGAAAGTCACCCTTCTCTGGTTTATAACTCACTTCTCTGGCTTGAGCCAGAAGCATGAAAAGCAAATTGGAGGAAATTTAATTCACCCTTCTCTGGTTTATAACTCACTTCTCTGGCTTGAGCCAGAAGCAGAAAAGCAAATGGGAGGAAAGTCACCCTTCTCTGGTTTATAACTCACTTCTCTGGCTTGAGCCAGAAGCAGGAAAAGCAAATGGGAGGAAATTTAATTCACCCTTCTCTGGTTTATAACTCACTTCTCTGGCTTGAGCCAGAAGCACGAAAAGCAAATTGGAGGAAATTTAATTCACCCTTCTCTGGTTTATAACTCACTTCTCTGGCTTGAGCCAAAGGCAGGGAAAGCAAATGGGAGGAAATTCACCCTTCTCTGGTTTATAGCTCACTTCTCTGGCTTGAGCCAGGAACACAAAAAGCAAATGGGAGGAAATTTAATTCACCCTTCTCTGGTTTATAACTGGCTTCTCTGGCTTGAGCCGAGGCCAGGGACAAGAAGCGGGGGAAAAGCTGAATCATTTCCAACGCACTTCCTGAGTCGGAAAAAAAATGTCAAAACTAGCTTCAGAAGGGAAAGGGAACTTCCGGCTTCCTTAAAAAAATTCAAAGTTGCTTCAAAAAGGTAGTCTTTCCAACTTTATTCCAAATAACGAAGATTCCAACTGGACCTAACCATGCACTGTCTCAGACAGGTAACAATAGGAGACTCCATATTATCCAACATTTTCGTTTATCTGACATTCTGCCGACCAGATAAGTCTACTGTATCTTTCAAAGCCTGTATTTAACGGAACAGGAGCCAAATTAAATTGAAATGCCATTTGTAATAACCCCTGTAGTGTTCCATGCTGCATGTAGTGAGAAGTGGGCTAAAGTTCCCAAACTTTATGTTACAGTTACCTCAAAATCTCTTGACCACAGCTACAACCCTAAATGTGTTCAACTGGGAACCATATACTCAGCAGGACTCGTTTCCAAGTAAACATGAACATAATTAAGCTACAGACCAGCGAAATTTTATAAAAAACAAGGTAACCTACTTTCGGATTCCACATCAAAGCTCCCGACAGATTTGGTATATTTCACCAGGTCTGACAATGCCCTTGACAATTTCATGGTCTTCTTCTGTCGGTTGGTTCTGGGAAGACAAAATGAAGAGTTGTGTTCCCCAATTATATCAGTAAATCCATCCGATTTTCATTTTCCTCGAAAAGAGTTCTGAAAGGAGACAACCCAAGTAGTGCTCTTCTCAGAGGAAGACAAGTAGATAAGAAAAAGCATCCATGGAAAATATAGGTTGCTTACCTATAAACATGGTTTCCCGAGTAGTCACCTGTGAATTTGCACATATGGTACATGACAGTTGGGTCCTACAGATAGTGAAGGATGGTTATTTAATTGAATTTGACAGTTTACCACCAGTGGGCCACTTAAGAGTCACATCTCCATCTCCTCCACTTGTAGAAGAGATAAAGATCCTACTCTCCAAAGGAGCAATATGTCCAATTCCACTATCTGCATATGGACAGTGTTTTTTCTCTAAATACCTTTTAGTATCCAAAAAGGGAGGTGGACAACGCCCGATACTGGATTTATGGGGGGTAAATAGATTTATAAGTACTAAGAAGTTTCGTATGGTGTCTCTTAAGACAATACTCCCCTTACTAAATAAAAAAGTTTGGTTTGCAACGGTGGATTTGAAGGACGCTTATTTTCACATCTCAATTAATGTGCAGCACCGTAGATTCCTAGCCTTTATGGTTGGGAACCAGGCCTATTGATTCAATGTTTTGCCATTTGGTTTAGCAACGGCTTCGAGAATTTTTACAAAATGCATGTCCACTGTGGCGGCTTACCTCCGCACAGCTGGAATAACGGTTTATCCATACATAGAGGATCGACTGACAAGTTGCAAATTCAAGAGAATTGTTGATTTCACACATCAGCAAAACATTGTTTCTTCTCCAGTCCCTAGGTCTTATAGTGAATTGGGAGAAGTCCAATCTCATTCCATCAAGGAGAATACAGTTCATTGGAGCACTTTTGGACTCGGAGGCACAGAAGGCATACTTACCCAACAACCGTTTCCAAAAGCTGGAAACCTGGGTTACATCCACACAGGAGAATGAATGCAGTTTGATCCCACCTGGATGGCCATATCTCAGTGCTGTGGACTTGAGGGATGTGTAGTTTGCTGAGGTAGCAGCACTCTTTGGCCGAGAAGGCAAAGGAGTTTGTAAAACTACAGATCTGTGGATTCCAGAGCATAGAGCCATGGCAAATCAAGTGGGGTCAAGCTGAATTAATTCCACTGTCTAGATGCACCCCTGCATGTTACCTCTGGGAAATCAAACGTAAAGTTCAATAACAAATGTAAAGTTCAACAATGGCCTGCCTTGGGGGAGCATGCTTACTCCATCCATATTTAGTATTTACACAAATGATCAGCCACTTCCAGAAGGGACAGAGAGTTTCCCTTATGCTGACGATCATGCCATCAACGCTCAAGCAGGGAGTTTTGAAATGGTAGAACAGAAGCTCTCTGAAGCTTTGGGTGCTCTTACTGCCTGTTACAGGGAAACCAGGTTGCTCCATCAATGTTTAACAGCTACACAAATGACCAGCCACTGCCAGAAGGGACAGAGAGTTTCATCTATGCTGATGATTGTGCCATCATCACCCAAGCAGGGAGCTTTGAAATGGTTGAACAGAAGCTCTCTGAAGCTTTAGGTGCTCTTACTGCTGATTTGTAATCCATCTAAAATGCAGACGTGTGCATTTCACATTAAGAACAGACAAGCATCTCGAGCTCGGAAGATCACTTGGGAAGGAATCCCACTGGAAAATTGCAGCACACCCAAACACCTGGGAATCACTGTGGACCATGCTCTGACTTACAAGAAGCACTGCTTGAGTATCAACAAAGAATGGGTGCTAGAAATAACATTGTACGAAAGCTCACTGGCACAACTTGGGGATCACAACCACACACAGTGAAGATATCTGCCCTTGCGCTTTGCTACTCTGCTGCTGAATATGCATGCCCAGTGTTAAAACAGTGTATGTGGCTCTTAATGAGACATGCTGCATTATCACAGGATGTCTACACTCTACACCACTGGAGAAATTACACTGTTTGGCTGGTATTGCACCACCTGACATCCGTCGGGAAGTAGCAGCCAATAACAGTGACATCTTTGACCCATCCTCTGTTCGGATATCAGCAAGCAAGCCAATGCCTTAAATCAAGAAATAGCTTCCTAAGCTCTACAGAGATACACGCAAAAACACCTCAGCAAGCGAGAGTCCAAAAGTGGCAGGTTAAAACCCAGAACCAGTACTAAGCTCAATACCTTCTGCAGATGTTACAAAGCCATATTTTTGTCTTATGTTCCCACTGAAACACATTTCCTTAGTTTTATTGATTCTGCCCTGCTGAGGCACTATGCTAGTTGGCCAAATGTGATTGCATTTGGCATGCTCCTTGAGGAAACACGGCAAAACTGGACAGCAGGTGAGCTCACGGCTTTGACATGTGCTACACAATTGGCTGGGTGACTTGTAGGACGGGGCATAAAGGGACCGCGGTCGCTCAGCAGATTAAACGGCTAGCTGCAGAAAAACTTGCTGACTGGAAGGTTGGCAGTTTGAAGCCGTGGGTCAGAGTGAGCTCTCACTGTCAGCTCTAGCTTCTGCCTACCTAGCAGATCGATAACATGTAATGTGAGTAGATCAATAGGAAGGTAAAAGGCGTCCTGCAGTCGTGCCAGCAAAACATGACCAGGAGGGTCTACAAACAACAGGCTTCTCGGCATGGAAAATGGAACAAGAGCACCTCCCCATGGACGTGGTTGAGCACTGCCTCCAGACACTGAAGATGGAAGGGAAAGCTTTGCCTTTGTTTGTGTACTGTATGTCATTGTTCACTGTATAAAAAGGCATTGATTGTTTGCCTATAATGTGTATACTACATATAATCCGCTCCGAGTCCCCTTGGGGAGATAGAGCGAAATAACAACAACAACAACAACAACAACAACAACAACACTATTTATACTCCACCCTATCTCCCCAAGAGGACTCAGGGAGGTCACAGTATACACACACGGCAAACGTTCAATGCTATTTTGGACAGACAGGACAGAGACAGAAAGAACAGAAAGGATGTATGCTGTGTCAACATCCAGCTTTTTGGCACCTTGGAGGTTGTGCTCAAGTGCAGCCACAGGGGGGTGCTGTCGCTTGATCTTCTACAAAGAAGAGACCTCAGGACTTCCTCCTTCCTTTGGGTTGCCGGTCTTTTACTGATTTTTTAATTTTATGGTGTCATAAAATACCTCCCCCCCCCCACTTTTTTTTAGCGTTATCTAATTTCTCTACTAACATCTCTAAGCTGTTTTCGAACTGCTTAGGTAAACAGTCAGCTGGGCTGACAGTCAGGAGCTCGCACCAACCCAGGGCTTTGAACTGGCATTGCTGGTGATTTAAATAATGAAGTGTATTATTATTGTATTTTCGAAGGCTTCCATGGCCGGAATCACTGGGTTGTTGTAGGTTTTTCGGCTATATGGCCATGTTCTAGAGGCATTTCTCCTGACGTTTCGCCTGCATCTATGGCAAGCATCCTCAGAGGTAGTGAGGTCTGTTGGAACTAGAAAATGGGTTTATATATCTGTGGAATGACCAGGGTGGGACAAAGAACTCTTGTCTGCTGGAGCTAGGTGTGAATGTTTCAACTGACCACCTTGATTAGCATTTGATGACCTGGCAGTGCCTGGGACAATCTTTTGATGAGAGGTGATTAGATGTTCTTGTTTGTTTCCTCTGTGTTGTTGTACTGTTGTAATTTTAGAGTTTTTTTTTAATACTGGTAGCCAGATTTTGTTCATTTTCATATATATTATTATTATTATTATTATTATTATTATTATTATTATTATTTAATATTCATAGGATCTTGGCCACCATCTTCCTGCCATCCCAGCACCTCGTTCTCTTTTCATTTGGTACATCTCGTTAGTTTTTTTTAAAGCTTTTAGATTGAGTCACTCGCCCATGTTCACGTTCGCACACGTATCAAAGCAAAGAAGAACATTATCCAGAGCGCATTGCCACTTACTTGCTATAATGCACCGAGCCTCTGGCTACGTTCCCTTGACAGTCGGAATCATCCTCACCGTCTTCCGGACTGGAAGCCCTTTTGAGCTTGCTTCCTTTTTTCTGTGAAAACGAAGGGGAGACAAGCAGGATGACAACAAGCTGCACTTGTTCGTACCGTAATGTTAAACTGGATTCCGAACAGGAATGTACCAGGACATGTGCAGTTGGAGGGAGGTCCATTATCCTGGCCAATGTACACTTTTAATGCCTCAAATGTTAGTCTCGTTTTGGGGGTATATTTGAAATGCTGATTCCAAAAGTACCACTAGTTCCCCCCTATCTGCTCTAGTTTTTGAGATCCAGAACATGTGGCATCTACCAGTTGTCATCTTCTCGCCCACAGACAACCATGATAAGGGTATCTAAGAAACTAGAGCCAAATTTGTTTATTTGTTTGTTTTGTATCAAAATTAGTATAAAACTGATAAAAATAGAAGGAGCGCAGGCGGCTAAATATATTTTGACCAAAAACAGGCAACAGCTTGGCTGGAGTTGAGCACCACCTCCAGAAACCGGAGATGAAAAAGGGAAACCTTTGCCTCTGTTTGTGGATTGTATGTCATTGCTCACTGTATTATTTATTTCGTATCAAAAGCATTGCGTAAATCAATAGAAAACCGATAAAAATAGCAGAAGTGCAGGCGGCTAAATATCTTTTGACCAAAACCGGGCAACAGCAACGGCATTGTCTGTAGCCCACAACAATTCTTCCTCTGTACATGAGGCAGGGCGTAGTGGACAAGCATACAGATGCGGAGTTGTCTGTTCTGCTCCACAGTCACACAAGGTGTGGATTCTTTTAGGTAGTGCCATTTTGCCAGGTTGTCTTTTGATCTGCCCACTCCACTTCTGAGTCTGTTCAGGGACTTCCAAGTTGCCCATTCTTGGTTTGCCCCTGGAAGGAAGACCCTCGTGGGGGGGGCATCCAGTTGGGGTTTCCTGGTTTAGCTGCCCAGAGGGAGGGAGACCCTTGCTGTTGCTGGGGGAACGCCAAGAGGAGTGGTAGTTCTCATAAAGCTTTTCCTTGATTTGAGTCTACTGGGAGGGGGCTGGTAGCCATGGTGTGGGGGGCTTTCACAGGGTTCAACATTATTTCTCTCACATTTAGCAGCAACTTCCCGTTACACATGGGGGGGGGGGCAATGCCAGCTAGCTTGTAGAGTTTATCAACAGGTGTAAGTTTAAGACATCCTGTGATTATTCTGCATGTTTCGTTCAATGAGAGTTTATCAACAGGTGTAGGTTTAAGACATCCTGTGATTATTCTGCATGTTTCGTTCAATGAGAGTTTATCAACAGGTGTAGGTTTAAGACATCCTGTGATTATTCTGCATGTTTCGTTCAATGAGAGTTTATCAACAGGTGTAGGTTTAAGACATCCTGTGATTATTCTGCATGTTTCGTTCAATGAGAGTTTATCAACAGGTGTAGGTTTAAGACATCCTGTGATTATTCTGCATGTTTCGTTCAATGAGAGTTTATCAACAGGTGTAGGTTTAAGACATCCTGTGATTATTCTGCATGTTTCATTCAATGAGAGTTTATCAACAGGTGTAAGTTTAAGACATCCTGTGATTATTCTGCATGTTTCGTTCAATGAGAGTTTATCAACAGGTGTAGGTTTAAGACATCCTTTGATTATTCTGCATGTTTCGTTCAATGAGAGTTTATCAACAGGTGTAGGTTTAAGACATCCTGTGATTATTCTGCATGTTTCGTTCAATGAGAGTTTATCAACAGGTGTAAGTTTAAGACATCCTGTGATTATTCTGCATGTTTCGTTCAATGAGAGTTTATCAACAGGTGTAAGTTTAAGACATCCTGTGATTATTCTGCATGTTTCGTTCAATGAGAGTTTATCAACAGGTGTAAGTTTAAGACATCCTGTGATTATTCTGCATGTTTCGTTCAATGAGAGTTTATCAACAGGTGTAAGTTTAAGACATCCTGTGATTATTCTGCATGTTGGACTTCAACTCCCACAATTCCTTGAGGCTCGGCATTGGGCCAAGGTAAGCCTTTGGGGCGAATGCCGAGCCTCAAGGAATTGTGGGGGTTGAAGTCCACCACAGCTGGAGGGCCAAAGGTTCCCTACCAGTTTAAGACATCCTGTGATTATTCTGCATGTTTCGTTCAATGCTATGTTCACCTGCTTTGCATGGGCAGACTTGTGCCAAACAGAGAAGGCATAGTTGGGTTGTTGTAGGTTTTTCTGGGCTATATGGCCATGTTCTGGGGGCATTTTCTCCTGACTTGCCTGACGTCAGGAGAAAAATTGCCTCCAGAACATGGCCATATAGCCCGGAAAAACCTACAACAAACCAGTGATCCCGGCCATGAAAGCCTTTGACAATACAGAGAAGGCATACTCAGTAATTGAGTAAGACAAGGTCTGGGCTGGTGTTCTTATTACTTTTGGGTCTGTACTCTATGCACTACTATTAAGTTTATCAACAGGCAGGGGCGGCTCGTCCATTACGTAAAGTAAGCGGTCGCAGAACACTTTTTTTGCCAGGGGTGCAGAGATGCCTCTGTAAATGCCTCTCGACCGCCACTTGAGGAGCGCCCCCTCAGCTCACAACAGCCCTAGCAGTCCGGGGGGAGCCTCGGCTTTCTTGCCTCACTGCCGGGCGATCCTCTTCCCAAAGGGGCCGGGCCCTTGAGCCTCGCCTAGCCCCTCTCGTTCCTGTTCCATATCAATGATTGGTTGGGGGGGGGGGGGTGCCAAAATACTGTTTGCTTACAGTTGAAAATTACCTAGGGCCGCCTCTGTCAACAGGTGTAGGTTTAAGACATCCTGTGATTATTCTGCATGTTTCATTCAATGCTCTGTTCACCTTCTTTGCGTGGACAGACCTATGCCAGACAGGGCAGGCATACTCAGCAGTTGAGTCAGACAAGGCTAGGGCTGATGTTCTTACTAGAGCTGATGTAGTGCAGGGAAGCCATGCTCCCCCTCTATTCTGACTTGGCCAGACCCTGGAATTACACTGTGTCCAATTCTGGGCACTGCAATTGAGGGGAGATGTAGACAAGCTGGAATGTGTCCAGAGGAGGGCGACTCAAATGATCAAGGGTCTGGAGAACAAGCTCAATGAGGAGTGGCTTAAAGAGATGGGCATGTTTACCCTGAAGAAAAGAAGGCTGAGAAGAGACAGGATGGGGGGGCATGTATAAATATGTGAGAGGAAGTCATAGGGAGAAGGGAGCAAGCTTGTTTTCTGCTTCCCTGGAGACTAGGATGCGGAAGAATGGCTTCAAACTACAGAAAAGGAAATTCCACCTGAACATTAGGAAGAACTTCCTGATTGTGGGAGCTGTTCAACAGTGGAACTCTCTGCCTGGGAGTGTGGTGGAAACTCCTTCTTTGGAGGTTTTTAAGCAGACTGGATGGCCATCTATCAGGGGTGCTTTGAATGCGATTTTCCTAGTTCCTGGCAGAATCAGGTTGGATTGTATGGCCCACTAGGCCTCTTCCAATTCCAGGATTCTATTATTGCAGTCTATCTAAGGAGCCCCTGGTGCCACAATGGGTTAAACTGCTGAGCTGCTGAACTTGTTGACTGAAAGGTTGGTGGCTCAAATCTGGGGAGCAGGGTGAGCTCCCGCTGTTAGCCCCAGCTTCTGCCAACCTAGTCCCATGTTGATATCAGTGCTAGATTTGGACAGTCAGAGACTGGATTTCAGTTTCGGTTTTCCCATACAGCTTCAGGTCATCCATGTACAGGAGATATGAAATTTTGTGAGATCTCTTAGATGTTTGATAGCCCAGGTTTATTATTATTATTATTATTATTATTCAACAATTGTATTACCAGCCTTGTGGCTTCCATATGCTGGAAATATAAACCTCTGCAACTAATTTGTAGTTGGAAAGACTCTGGAAAATTGTGGGTAGAACAATATATGCCAGGCCTATCTATTTCAGAAGAGATAGTCAACTGAGAATATAATAGGCTTGGGAGACAAATGGATCAATAGGTACCGCTCTGGCGGGAAGATAACAGCGCTCCATGTAGTCATGCCAACCACATGACCTTGGAGGTGTTTACGGACAATGCCGGCTCTTTGGCTTAGAAACGGAGATGAGCAACAACCCCCAGAGTCGGACACGACTGGACTTCATGTCAGGGGAAAACCTTTGCCTTACCTAGTTTTTAAGTCTATCCAATCCAATTTTCTGAATCAGCATCCCAAATAACCCCAGGAACAAGGCCTAAACAAGCAATAAATGTGTGTGGTTGGGCTGCATGATGCTCCAGCCCTGCTCCAAGTGCCAATTGCCATTGCTGTGGCCATGGAAAGCGAAGGAGAGGAGCTGGGCACAACTCCATAATACCCTCCAGCAGGTAAACATGGGGGTGTCATGCCCACGAAGATTCCCTTCTTGTTTGCTCTTTCTCTTCCCTAAGCATCAAAGCGATGCAAGGCAGCCATAATCACACTGGTTGGCCTGTTGTGTCCTAACGTATTGGGAAAGTTGCATTGTTTGAATTCCCCAACCACCTTCGGACAAAAGCAGAATAACACTCCAAATGTGATGAATAACCTTGCGTTTGGAAAAGCTTCCCATCAGTGACCGGTTGTGCCGTTTGTTGATGATAGCCTCTTGCCCAGAGTCCACCTCCTCCTCATGTTTGTTCTACAACAACAAAGAAGGACAGCAACATACAAGACGGTCAGTGATTGGACAGATGGACAGGAACGCAGAGAGCGAGACAGACACAGGATCTAAACAACTCCTCGCCACAAGTCAACGGACCCAGACCAATAAAAAGCACAACACAAACGTTCGGATGGAATGATCAAAATTTAACCAAAGCTTTGCTAATACCACAGAAATGTAGAGTCTGGCTTATCCGATATAAATGGGCCGGCTAAACGTCGGATAAACAAAAATGTCGGATAATACAGTGTTCCCTCGCTACTTCGTGGTTCGCTTATTGCGGACTTACTATATCACGGGGAGTAGCAAGGGAACACTGTATAGCTGCTCCCCGTTCCTTTCCTCGCGAGGAAGGGTCCCTCCAAGGTGGGGAGAAGAAGAGGTGGTGAAGAGGAGGAGACCACCACCAAAAAGGGCCTCGGCAGCGGCTTCCTCCTTGCCCCTCCGCTGCTCCGAGGCACGGAGGGACCCTCTGTGGCACGGAGTGGTGGAGGCGGTGAGGAGGAAAGCTGTCAAAGAGGCCTCAGCGGTGGTGGCTTCCCCCTTGCCCCTCTTCTGCTCCGAGGCACAGAGGGACCGTCCGTGGCATGGATCAGCAGAGGTGGCAAGGAGGAGGCCACTGCCATAGAGGTCTCGGCGGTGGTGGCTTCCCTCTCGCCCCTCTACTGCTCCAAGGCACGGAGAGACTCTCTGTGGCATGGATCAGCAGAGGTGGCAAGGAGGAGGCCACTGCCATAGAGGTCTCGGCGGTGGTGGCTTCCCCCTCGCCCCTCTACTGCTCCAAGGCATGGAGGGACCCTCTGTGGCATGGATCAGCAGAGGTGGCAAGGAGGAGGCCACTGCCATAGAGGTCTCGGCGGTGGTGGCTTCCCCCTCGCCCCTCTACTGCTCCAAGGCACGGAGAGACTCTCTGTGGCATGGATCAGCAGAGGTGGCAAGGAGGAGGCCACTGCCATAGAGGTCTCGGCGGTGGTGGCTTCCCCCTCGCCCCTCTACTGCTCCAAGGCATGGAGGGACCCTCTGTGGCATGGATCAGCATAGGTGGCAAGGAGGAGGCCACTGCTATAGAGGCCTCAGCGGTGGTGGCTTCCCCCTTGCCCCTCTTCTGCTCCGAGGCACAGAGGGACCGTCCGTGGCATGGATCAGCAGAGGTGGCAAGGAGGAGGCCACTGCCATAGAGGTCTCGGCGGTGGTGGCTTCCCTCTCGCCCCTCTACTGCTCCAAGGCACGGAGAGACTCTCTGTGGCATGGATCAGCAGAGGTGGCAAGGAGGAGGCCACTGCCATAGAGGTCTCGGCGGTGGTGGCTTCCCTCTCGCCCCTCTACTGCTCCAAGGCACGAAGGGACCCTCTGTGGCATGGATCAGCAGAGGTGGTGAAGAAGAGGCCGCCGCAAAGTAGGGATACTCCGCCCACTCGAGTGAGTGGTGCATCCCTACTTCGCGGATCTTCACTTATCGCGGGTGGTCCTGGAACGGAACATCCGCGATAAGTGAGGGATTACTGTACCTTAATCTCTTACTGTTACCCATCTACTGTGGCGCTAGATACCTAGAATACTAACAACAGGGACTCAAAGAGTTAAAGCAAGGCAATGCCTCAAGGCAAGAAGTGTCCAGATACAGAAGAGGAGCATGGACATCGCAGAGGGAAGGAGGGAGGACGCTTCTGCTTATGGTCATGTCTCTTTTCCCCCTTTCCTCCCTCCTCCTCCTCCTCCCTTTGCCCTTCCAAAGTTAGTCTCGCCATTTTTCTTCCGACTCAGGAAGTGAGTCAGAAATGATTCTGGTCCCTGGACTCGGCTCAAGCCAGAGAAGCCAGTTTTAAACCAGGGAAGGCTGAATTTCCTCCCTTTGCTTTCCTCGCTTCTGCCTCAAGCCAGAGAAGCCAGTTTTAAACCAGAGAAGGCTGAATTTCCTCCCTTTGCTTTCCTCGCTTCTGCCTCAAGCCAGAGAAGCCAGTTTTAAACCAGAGAAGGCTGAATTTCCTCCCTTTGCTTTCCTCGCTTCTGCCTCAAGCCAGAGAAGCCAGTTTTAAACCAGAGAAGGCTGAATTTCCTCCCTTTGCTTTCCCGCTTCTGCCTCAAGCCAGAGAAGCCAGTTTTAAACCAGGGAAGGCTGAATTTCCTCCCTTTGCTTTCCTCGCTTCTGCCTCAAGCCAGAGAAGCCAGTTTTAAACCAGAGAAGGCTGAATTTCCTCCCTTTGCTTTCCCCATTTCTGCCTCAAGCCAGAGAAGCCAGTTTTAAACCAGAGAAGGCTGAATTTCCTCCCTTTGCTTTCCTCGCTTCTGCCTCAAGCCAGAGAAGCCAGTTTTAAACCAGAGAAGGCTGAATTTCCTCCCTTTGCTTTCCCGCTTCTGCCTCAAGCCAGAGAAGCCAGTTTTAAACTGGGGAAGGCTGAATTTCCTCCCTTTGCTTTCCCCATTTCTGCCTCAAGCCAGAGAAGCCAGTTTTAAACCAGAGAAGGCTGAATTTCCTCCCTTTGCTTTCCTCGCTTCTGCCTCAAGCCAGAGAAGCCAGTTTTAAACCAGAGAAGGCTGAATTTCCTCCCTTTGCTTTCCTCGCTTCTGCCTCAAGCCAGAGAAGCCAGTTTTAAACCAGAGAAGGCTGAATTTCCTCCCTTTGCTTTCCTCGCTTCTGCCTCAAGCCAGAGAAGCCAGTTTTAAACCAGAGAAGGCTGAATTTCCTCCCTTTGCTTTCCTCGCTTCTGCCTCAAGCCAGAGAAGCCAGTTTTAAACCAGAGAAGGCTGAATTTCCTCCCTTTGCTTTCCTCGCTTCTGCCTCAAGCCAGAGAAGCCAGTTTTAAACCAGAGAAGGCTGAATTTCCTCCCTTTGCTTTCCTCGCTTCTGCCTCAAGCCAGAGAAGCCAGTTTTAAACCAGAGAAGGCTGAATTTCCTCCTGTTTGCTTTTCCTTCTTCTGGCTCAAGCCAGAGAAGCCAGTTTTAAACCAGAGAAGGCTGAATTTCCTCCCTTTGCTTTCCTCGCTTCTGCTCAAGCCAGAGAAGCCAGTTTTAAACCAGAGAAGGCTGAATTTCCTCCCTTTGCTTTCCTCGCTTCTGCCTCAAGCCAGAGAAGCCAGTTTTAAACCAGAGAAGGCTGAATTTCCTCCCTTTGCTTTCCTCGCTTCTGTCTCAAGCCAGAGAAGCCAGTTTTAAACCAGAGAAGGCTGAATTTCCTCCCTTTGCTTTCCTCGCTTCTGCCTCAAGCCAGAGAAGCCAGTTTTAAACTGGGGAAGACTGAATTTCCTCCTGTTTGCTTTTCCTTCTTCTGGCTCAAGCCAGAGAAGCCAGTTTTAAACCAGAGAAGGCTGAATTTCCTCCCTTTGCTTTCCTCGCTTCTGCCTCAAGCCAGAGAAGCCAGTTTTAAACCAGAGAAGGCTGAATTTCCTCCCTTTGCTTTCCTCGCTTCTGCCTCAAGCCAGAGAAGCCAGTTTTAAACCAGGGAAGGCTGAATTTCCTCCCTTTGCTTTCCTCGCTTCTGCCTCAAGCCAGAGAAGCCAGTTTTAAACCAGGGAAGGCTGAATTTCCTCCCTTTGCTTTCCTCGCTTCTGCCTCAAGCCAGAGAAGCCAGTTTTAAACCAGAGAAGGCTGAATTTCCTCCCTTTGCTTTCCTCGCTTCTGTCTCAAGCCAGAGAAGCCAGTTTTAAACCAGAGAAGGCTGAATTTCCTCCCTTTGCTTTCCCCACTTCCTGCCTCAAGCCAGAGAAGCCAGTTTTAAACCAGAGAAGGCTGAATTTCCTCCCTTTGCTTTCCTCGCTTCTGCCTCAAGCCAGAGAAGCCAGTTTTAAACCAGAGAAGGCTGAATTTCCTCCCTTTGCTTTCCTCGCTTCTGCCTCAAGCCAGAGAAGCCAGTTTTAAACCAGAGAAGGCTGAATTTCCTCCCTTTGCTTTCCTCGCTTCTGCCTCAAGCCAGAGAAGCCAGTTTTAAACCAGAGAAGGCTGAATTTCCTCCCTTTGCTTTCCTCGCTTCTGCCTCAAGCCAGAGAAGCCAGTTTTAAACTGGGGAAGACTGAATTTCCTCCTGTTTGCTTTTCCTTCTTCTGGCTCAAGCCAGAGAAGCCAGTTTTAAACCAGAGAAGGCTGAATTTCCTCCCTTTGCTTTCCTCGCTTCTGCCTCAAGCCAGAGAAGCCAGTTTTAAACCAGAGAAGGCTGAATTTCCTCCCTTTGCTTTCCCCATTTCTGCCAAGCCAGAGAAGCCAGTTTTAAACCATAGAAGGCTGAATTTCCTCCCTTTGCTTTCCCGCTTCTGCCTCAAGCCAGAGAAGCCAGTTTTAAACCAGAGAAGGCTGAATTTCCTCCCTTTGCTTTCCTCGCTTCTGCCTCAAGCCAGAGAAGCCAGTTTTAAACCAGAGAAGGCTGAATTTCCTCCCTTTGCTTTCCTCGCTTCTGCCTCAAGCCAGAGAAGCCAGTTTTAAACCAGAGAAGGCTGAATTTCCTCCCTTTGCTTTCCTCGCTTCTGCTCAAGCCAGAGAAGCCAGTTTTAAACCAGAGAAGGCTGAATTTCCTCCTGTTTGCTTTTCCTTCTTCTGGCTCAAGCCAGAGAAGCCAGTTTTAAACCAGAGAAGGCTGAATTTCCTCCCTTTGCTTTCCTCGCTTCTGCCTCAAGCCAGAGAAGCCAGTTTTAAACCAGAGAAGGCTGAATTTCCTCCCTTTGCTTTCCTCGCTTCTGCCTCAAGCCAGAGAAGCCAGTTTTAAACCAGAGAAGGCTGAATTTCCTCCCTTTGCTTTCCTCGCTTCTGCCTCAAGCCAGAGAAGCCAGTAAACCAGAGAAGGCTGAATTTCCTCCCTTTGCTTTCCCCATTTCTGCCTCAAGCCAGAGAAGCCAGTTTTAAACCAGAGAAGGCTGAATTTCCTCCTGTTTGCTTTTCCTTCTTCTGCCTCAAGCCAGAGAAGCCAGTTTTAAACCAGAGAAGGCTGAATTTCCTCCCTTTGCTTTCCTCGCTTCTGCCTCAAGCCAGAGAAGCCAGTTTTAAACCA